TTGCCTAATCTCCCTGGGGAGCAAGTTCCAAAGCTGAGGGGCCACCACGGAGAAGGTCCTCTCCCTTTTCCCCACAAGCTGCACTTGTGATGGAGGCGGGAGCAAGAGGAGGGCCTCCCCTGAAGATCGAAGGGATCACGCAGGTTTGTAGCAGGAAATGTGATCACGAAGGTAGGTGGGTCTCAAACCATCCAGGGCTCTCTGTAGGTGATAACCTGTACTTTGAATTGGGACTGGAAAATGAACGGCAGCCAATGGAGCTTCTGAAATAGGGGAGAAGACTGCTACTTGTAATTCGCTCCAGTTAGCAGTCTAGCTGCCGATCGCTGGACCAATATGTAAACATACCTGAACAACATTTACACAATTAAGTGCACAATTTCTCTCATCAACATATACAACATATAACTCAGAGCCACCGGTGGTGCAATGGGCTAAACCCTTTTACCAGCAGGTTGGAGGTTCGAATCCAGGGAGAGCGCAAATAAGTTCCCTCTGTTAGCTCTAGCTCCCCATGCGTGGACATGAAAGAAGCCTCCCATGAAGATGGTAAAACATCAAAACATCCAGGCGTCCTCTGGGCAGTGTCTTTGCAGATGGCCAATTCTCTCACACTAGAAGCGACTTGCAGTTTCTTAAGTTGCTCCTGACACGAAAAAGAAAACATACATCTCTACTCTTAACTAATGTAAATGTTTTGAAATGTTTGGATGTATTTTATAATTCTATATTAAATGTTTATTTTAATTTTACATTGTTTTTAATGGCATTGAATAGCGTCTATGTTGAAAAGCTGCCTTCAGTCCCCTCCGGGGTTGAGAAAGGCGGGGTAGAAATGTCGTAAATAAATAATAAATAAATAAATCTTCCCTTTCGACAATTTTGCTGCAATTTAACATATACTCGCATTTACTTAAGTCTAATGCGCCATCGAATCTAATGCGCATCTCAATTTTCAAAACTCTGAAACCCAGAAAAAGTATTTACCCTCTTACACGAATCTAATGTGTATCCTAAATTTGGGGAGATAATTAAGTCATGAAAGATAAGTAAATACTGTAGTTTCTTCCACTTTATATCCAACAAGCTATTTACTTTTGCTTGCTTTTGTTTTAAGAAATGAATATTTTACCATTTATATCTCCAAACCTATAAATAAAATATTATTTCTCTCCCTCAGATACAGAGAGGTTTCCATTCTTCTAAAACGTGTCTAGTGGTTTCTTCTTCAACAAAATTGTTAAATTGTTCATTTCTAATAGCTCCCACAACTTCACTGTCCAAACTTCTATGGTTGCTATTTTTGCACAATGGCACATTTTTAAAATTTGGCAGAACAGGCTGCCTCAGATAAGATAGGAAAAAGGAGCTTTGAGCATTGCTGTGGGAAAGTCCTTTGGTTTTAATAAAGTGTTACGCTGCTTCATTAGTTCTTTAATTTGGTTTCCACATATTTTTGTTGCTGTTGTTATTGTTGTGTGCAGTCAACTTATCACAGGGTTTTCTGGAGCGGAGAGTGTGTGACATGTTCAAAGTCTACCAGTTGGTTAAATAGATAATCAGGTATGATTCCCAGAGTCATGACTACTCTCTTCTGCATCTTGGGGGAAAGTAAATATTGCAGAGTACACTTCTTCAAAAATGGGGAATCTCAGTCAGATAACCATACACTGAACAATTTCTAGGTGAAGAAGCTTTGGATTCTTGCACAGGTCCATTTAGAAACTAAACTTTCTATGATCAATAGGATTTCTTGTATAGTTATGAACCCAACAAGAACCCATAGCTGTGGATGATAGAGGGCAGTACATTTATAAAATACTAGCTGTCCCCTGCCACTCGTTGCTGTGGCCCAGTCTGTTGATCTGGAAAATAAAGTAATGAGAAAGTGTTGGTTTTTAATATATGTAATTTCTTTATGGTTGTGGGTAAACAGTATTTCTTGCTGTTTCTTTGTCAGTGTTGATGTGGAGAGTGTCTGGTTTGCCTACTCTAGAACATGCAACATAGAATTGTCCTTCTTTAGGGGTCCCTTACAAATCTATGATATTATATCTCTCTGTCTGTGAATCATATCTATTTATCTACCTATATCTATATCTATGGCTGGATGGACTTTGATTACATTTTCTTGCCCTGATGAAGGGAGTTGGATTGGATGGCCTTCAGTATTTTCTGTTGGTCATGGGAGTTCAGAGTGGGAAATTTGCCCTGATTCTGTCATTTGTGGGTTTCAGAACGTTCTTTGATTGTAGGTGAACTGTGAATCCCAGTGACTACAACTCCCAAATGTCAAGGTCTATTTCCCCCAAACTCCATCTGTATTCATATTTGGGCGTATTGGGTGCTTGTACCAAGTTTGATCCAGATCCATCATAGTTTGAATCCACAGTGATCTCTGGATGTAAGTGAACTACAACTCCAAAACCAACAGACACTGCCCACCAAACCCTTCCAGTATTTTCTGTTGGTTATGGGAAAACTGTGTGCCAAGTTTGGTTCAGTTCCATCGTTGATAGAGTTCAGAATGCTCTTTGACTGTAGGTGAACTATAAATCCCAGCAACTACAACTCCCAAATGACAAAATCATAATTTTTTGAGTGATGGTCACTCCTTGTACTGTGAGATGTTTTGTTGCCAAATTTGGTGGGATTTCGTTCATTGATTCTTTTGTTTTTAAGGTACTAATTATGCACAGAGCATTTACATATATATAGATTACTCTCCCCTCTTTCCACTCTTACCTGTGAATCATAGAATTATAGAGTTAGAAGAGACCATATGGCCCATCTAGTCCAACCCCCTACCATGCAGGAAAAGCACAATCAAAGTACTCCTGATGGATGACCACCCAGCATCTGTTTAAAAGTTTCCAAGGAAGGAGCTTCCACCACACTCCAAGGCAGAGAGTTCCACTGTTGAACAGCTCGTACAATCAGGAAGTTCTTCTAAGATGCCAGTTTTTCTACATTGTTTTCTTAGCACAGTATGCTACATTGTGAATGAGTACCTTGAGGAGGTTTGTGATAGCACAAAGAGAACTTTATTTATTTATTTATTTATTTATTTATTTATTTATGGTACTTGTAGCCCACTTTTCTCAGTCATAAGACGACTCAAGCGGCTTACAGAACAGGTCATAAAAATACAATTAAAACATTCAACATAATATTATAAAAACCATTGCAACCATTAAACATGTATAGATCAAAAACATTCTGTTCTGGGATGGGCATTGCTCAGGAAGGTTCCTCAGGATCTTTTCCAACTCTGTGATCTCTGATTCTAAGGACCCTTTCAAACAAAATCCCACATTAACTGCTTTGAAATGGTATATATGGCAATGTGGACTCAGATAATCCATCATTGTTTGAGTCCACAGTGCTCTCTGGATGTAGGTGAACTACAACTCCCAAACTCAAGGTCAATGTCCATCAATACCCATGTTAGTCATGGAGTCCTGTGTGCCAAGTTTGGTTCAATTCCATCGTTGGTGGAGTTCAGAATGCTCTTTGATTGTAGGTGAACTATAAATCCCAGCAACTACAACTCCCAAATGACAAAAAATATTTTTTTGAGTGAAGGACATACATTGGACTTTTACAAACCTTTTGTATTGTTATCCCAATACCCCCATGCATAAGGGGAATATTGAGCATGGTGATCAGATCATGATATGAATAAACATAACAGTTTAAATAATGTACCAGTAAGGCCTTTCTGCGACCACCATGAGAATTGGGGGGGGGGGTGAAGCTCCTCAAGCACCCCCCCCCCCCAGCTACATGTCTGGTTGGAGCCTTGTGTTTGTGAGACGTAGGAACCGTGTTGGTTGTAAGCTTGGAACGTTGTGGTTGAAAATTAATTTGGTGATTTTAATCCATCTAAATGGGGGAATATGGTTACTTACATAGAATCATAGAGTGGGGAGAGACCTCATGGGCCATCCAGTCCAACCCCCTGCCAAGAAGCAGGAATATTGCATTCAAATCACCCCTGACAGATGGCCATCCAGCCTCTGTTTAAAAGCTTCCAAAGAAGGAGCCTCCACCACACTCCGGGGCAGAGAGTTCCACTGCTGAACGTCTCTCACAGTCAGGAAGTTCTTCTTCATGTTCAGATGGAATCTCCTTTCTTGTAGTTTGAAGCCATTGTTCCGTGTCCTAGTCTCCAGGGAAGCAGAAAACAAGCTTGCTTCCCCATCCCCGTGACTTCCTCTCACATATTTATACATGGCTATCATGTCTCCTCTCAGCATTCTCTTCTTCAGGCTAAACATGCCCAGCTCCTTAAGCCGCTCCTCATAGGGCTTGTTCTCCAGACCCTTGATCATTTTAGTCACCCTCCTCTGGACACATTCCAGCTTGTCAATATCTCTCTTGAATTGTGGTGCCCACAATGTCCTCCACTAAAAAAAAAAATATGATTTTGTCATTTGGGAATTGTTGTTACTGGGATTTATAGTTCACCTGCAATCGAACAGCATTCTGAACTCCACCAACGATGGAATTGAACCAAACTTGGCACACAGAACTTCCATGACTAACATGGGCATTGATGGGCATTGACCTTGAGTTTGGGAGTTGTAGTTCACCTACATCCAGAGAGCACTATGGACTCAAACAATGATGGATCTGGACCAAACTTGTAGTAGTCGCCCTGAAAGCTAAGCAAATACATACATATCTTTCATATAAGAAATATATGTATGTATTTGCTTAGCTTTCAGGGCGACTGTTAGCTGTCAAAAAGCGTCTACATTTGAGGGAAGGGGGGCCACAGCATGGGCTGTCAACATTTGCTGACATCTGCCCGCAGTGTTTGTTTTGCAGGGTACTTTTCAGGCTCAGGCTGAGCAGACAGAGACAGAAAGGCCTGCCGGGAAGTGTAGTCCTTGTACGCGTTCGCTTCACGCGTTTCCTTGCCCGCCCGGACTCCATCTCCCAGAAGCGCGCGGGGGGCTCCTGCTGCAGTCACGTGCCCTTCCTCCTCAGGCGGAGCACCAACTCAGCCGGAGCGGGCGGCCATTTTGTGAGCGACCGTCGCCGCTGCCGTTGCTAGCCGCTGCCCTCTCTCCGGATTGGCTCCCCGCCTCCGCCGGCTCGTTGCTTTTCCCTCTTCCTTCCGGCCGACTCACTGCTGAACCTGAGGCAGCCCCGGGCGAACCCAGCCGCGGCCTTTTCCCCCCGAGCAGCGCCCAGCCACACAATCGCATGTCCACTATCCAGAACCTCCAATCCTTCGGTAAGAAGCCGCTTCTTTTGCCCGCTCAGGTTTGGCCCGGGCCTGGTTGGTGTGCCTCTCGTTTCTGAGCTACTGGTGGGGGCTGCGAGGCCTGGGCCTTCCTTTCAACCCTGTTCCTCGGCTCCAAACCGCTCTGGATGAGGCGCTGTCCGTTGTCAAAGGTGCTGCTTTCCTTGTCAACGAGCTTCCCATTTCCTTTATATATATGTAACTCATGCATGAGCAAAATTGGGCCCTCCAGGTGTTTTGGACTCCAACTCCCACCATTCCTAACAGCCGGTAGGCTGTTAGGAATGGTGGGAGTTGAAGTCCAAAATCATGTATTTACTGTATTTGTATACCGCCTTTCTCAGCCAATTGGCAACTCAAGGCGGTTTTCAACAAATCAGTATACATAAAACATAATATAGATTTTTAAAAAAATTAAACAGTATAAGACATCACAAAAGCAATAAAAACAACATCATCAGCATCTCATTATTCTCAAGCATTGTCCAATTCCATTGTCAGGTCATTCGATTTCCTATATTAGCAACTCTGTATTTTAACTTGGCTCCGAAATGTCAAGAGGGAGGGAGCAGATCTGATCTCCTTAGGGAGGGCGTTCCATAGCCGAGGGGCCACCACTGAGAAGGCCCTCTCTCTTGTCCCCGCCAAACATGCTTGTGACAAAGGCGGGACCGAGAGCAGGGCCTCCCCAGATCATCTTAAAGTCCTCAGTGGTTCATAAGGGGAGATATGTTCAGACAGGTAAGTTGGGCCAGAACCGTTTAGGGCAGTGGTTCTCAACCTGGGGTCCCCAGATGTTTTTGGTCTACAACTCCCAGAAATCCCAGATCTGATCTCCTTAGGGAGGGCGTTCCATAGCCGAGGGGCCACCACTGAGAAGGCCCTGTCTCTCGTCCCTGCCAAACGTGCTTGTGACGAAGGCGGGACCTCCCCAGATGATCTTAAAGTCCTCAGCGGTTCGTAAGGGGAGATACATTCAGACAGGTAAGTTGGACCAGAACCATTTAGGGCTTTATAGGCCAATGCCAGCACTTTGAATTGGGCCCGGTAGCAAACTGGCAGCCAGTGGAGCTGGCACAACAAGGGGGTTGTATGCTCCCTGAGCGCCGCTCCTGTTAACAACCTGACTAGTTCAGTGGTTCTCAACCTGGAGTCCCCAGATGTTTTTGGCCTACAACTCCCAGAAATCCCAGCCAGTTAACCAGCTGTTAGGATTTCTGGGAGTTGAAGGCCAAAAACATCTGGGGACCCCAGGTTGAGAACCACTGGACTAGTTGAAGCTTCTGGACCGTCTTCAAAGGCAACCCCACATAGAGAGCATTGCAGTAGTCTATACAGGATGTAACCAGAGCGTGGACTACTGTGGCCAAAAACCTGGAGGGCCCAAGTTTGCCCATACCTGATGTAATCACTAGTACTTTAGTAATTCCATCCTGACACTCCACTTTCAGAATGGGCTTCATAGCAGAATTGGTCGCACATTGAACTACCACAGCTCAATGCCGCACAATCGTGGAGCTGTCATTTTATACACGGTCTTTAGCCTTCCCTGCCAAAGACTACCAAAGTTTAAACCCCAGCATGTCATAGCATTGGGCTTTGGCAGTTCGAGTGTATAGTCTGTCCACTTTGCCCTTGTCTGTTTTGAGGAACTTCGGGTTCATTGATTTTGTGTGGTTTTTATTCCTGGCATGTTTGGCTTCATGAAGAGAGAAAGGGAGGGCCCTTTCAGACAGGCCCTATATCCCAGCATCTAATCCCAAGTTTTCTGCTTTAACCTGGATTATATGAGTACCCAGAGCCAAATAATCTGGGGGCCAGGGGACAGTTCCACCTTGTCTCCTGTGCTATTCTAATTATATAGTATAATATAATATAATATAATATAATGTAATGTAATGTAATGTAATGTAATGTAATGTAATATACTGTATATACATGTATTTATAATATAATGTAATGCAATATAATTTGTTGTTCAGTCCTTTCCGACTTTTCTTGACTTCATGGACCTCTCCACGGCAGAGCTCCCTGTTGGTCGTCACCACCCCCAACTCCTTCAAGGTCAATCCAGTCACTTCAAGGATACCATCCATCCATCTTGCCCTTGGTCAGCCCCTCTTCCTTTTTCCTTCCTTTTTCCCCAGCATAATTCTCTTCACTAAGCTTTCCTTTCTTCCCTTCAATGAGCAGTCAGGCTTTATTTCTTGAAGTATGGACTGGTTGGATCTTCTCGCTGTCCAAGGTACTCTCAGCACTTTCCTCCAACACCACAGTTCAAAAGGATCTATCTTCCTTCGCTCAGCCTTCCCTATCATCCAGCTCTCACATCCGTAGGTGACTATGGGGAATACCATTGCTTTAACCAATGCAATATAATACTAATACTAATAATGTGATATTATAATTACATATTTATATTACATGTAATATTACTAATAATATTACAATATAATAGTATAGTACAATATAGTAATATTTAATACTGATATTGTACTTTGCCAATAATATAATATATTGTATCCAGTGGGTTAAACCACTGAGCTGCTGAGCTTGTTGACCGAAAAGTCATAGGTTCAAATCCGGGGAGCGGTGTGAGCTTCCGCTGTCAGCCCCAGCTTCTGCTAACCTAGCAGTTCGAAAACATGCAAATGTGAGTAGATCAATAGGTACCACTCCGGCAGGAAGGTAAAGGCATTCCATGCAGTCATGCCAGCCACATGACCTTGGTGGTGTCTATGGACAACGCTGGCTCTTCGGCTTAGAGAGGGAGATGAGCACCAAGCCTCAGAGTCGGGCACGACTGGACTTAATATCAGGGGACAACCTTTACCTATATATACCTTTTACGCTGCTCTGAGTCCCCTTTGGGATGAGAAGGGCAGCATATAAATGTCATAAATAAATGAATGAATTAATGAATGAATTAAATGAATGAATGGAAAATCTGGGATCAAATCTTGGAATATAGGATGTTTCTGGAAGGGCCCAGACAGAGAGAAAGAGAAGGAGGGAGGCTGGAAAGAATACAGTGTGCTTCTGCCTCTTGACTTTGTGTTTCCTTGCCACAACTTTGTACTTCTACCATTTTAAAGTTGACTTTTTTATTGTTCCATGTGAATGTGCCTTTATACATTATTTGTTATCATTGTAAGAAAGGGGGGAGTTTGAGGGGCCAGAATGGATTTACAGCATTTCAATGGGAAAATTTGCTTTTGAGATAAGAGCAATTTAAGTTAAGAGCTCGGTCATGGAACAAATTAATTTTTTTTATTCAAGGTATCACTGTATATAAAATAGGTATAAAAACAAAACATTTACTGATATCACATCAGCATTTGCTAGGCTTGCTAAACAGGCCGGCTTTCCTTTTGGTGTACAGCTGAAGCATTTTCAGCAGAGTCCACTGTAAACATTGCCCATTATGGCTAACAGGTTTGTGTAAATGACTTGCATTCAGAAAGCTTTTACTGCTGCTAGTTTTTGGGGAGTACAACATTGACCTAAGGGAACCTCATTTGGGGTTGGGACCCAGTTTAAGAAGCAGTGGTGTGGCCCATCAACCTGGGAGATATATTTGTATGAACACAAATATAGCATACACCCTAACAGCGTACAAGTTGGGAATTTGTTCTGTTATATATACTTTCAAAAAGAACTGCCCACTGATTCAGTGGGTTGACTCTTTCTGAAAGTAGTGTGCTGGCAGTCCTCAGGTTACAGAGTCCAACTTACAAATGTACTGTTTTGTTGCAGTAATTGCACATAAATTGTGCAAGAACGTGAGTGAGACAACAGAAAGCGAGAGAAATCTACCCCTCGGAAGAGAAATTCACTCCTGAAGAAATTATCATGGGGGAAAGCTGTGTTCGCTAAAGCTTTAGCACCAATTCTTATTTCCACAACAAGCCATGTTTTCAAAAGCCAATTATCACAGGGACAAAAAGTGAGGTGAAATCTTCTGAACAGCAAAACAAGCACCACAGGGATGTTGACCCCTCCCTATGTTGTCCAAAGATAGATAGATAGATAGATAGATAGATAGATAGATAGATAGATAGATAGATATCTGAAGTCACACTTAAAAATGTACCTGTTCCAACTTACATACAAATTTAACTTCAGAACAAACCTACAGAAACTTGCCGACTGCCTGTGTATAGTTCTGTGTCATCTCATATATATATGTATGTGTGTATGTATGACTGGCATCCTGTTAATGACATATAGAGGCATTACTCAAGCTTACCGTTGTGTATATCCCTTGTCATTATGTGGAGATGCAGGAATACCGACAGCAGGATGAAGAGAAGAGCCTGGAGAAGAGGAACCACTGACCCAAGACATCCCATGGCAAACATAAAAATCAAAGAAAAATCATAGTATTTTCTGGTTATAAATAGGTTAGAACTTTCTCATAAATTAGCCCTTTATTGTTACTCCCATGAATTATTCTTTATTACACTAAACTGCATTTATTCTACATTTGAGCCTTGTAGTCTTTGTAAGAACTAACATACTTCATGATTTAGAACATTAACCCTAACTTTTCTCCCCTCAAAATCTATCTACTATATCTATATATTATGTCTGTAGTCCTTTATTAAGTGATTTGATTGTGGCAATTATTGGCCCACCTGCCCATTGGTTTTCTACCTATTGGCAAGGATTTAATTGGCATTGCCTATTTTGCTGCTTAGATCAGCTGGAAATTCATCCTGTGGTCTTTTCTCTTTTTCTGCTCTCATAATTTCCTCTTAGAGAAGCCCAAGATCCATTGTTTATGTTGCTGTTGTGTGTGTGTGCATTTATCTAAAAATGTGTGTAAGAATTTAATTAGAGGCTGTCATTTTATTGATAAGTGCAGCACTGAGGCAAGCCTGTGGGTTGTCTGGTCATGTTACACCAGCTAACATGAATGATATCATACCTAAGTGCCCTTGCTTTGATCTAGAATGCTTTGCTTAGCCTTGATGCAAAATATGTAGTTACAACTAGTTGCAAATGCATAATCCAGCTCATTGTTGTTCCTCTATATATGTAGCATTCTGTCTAACAAGTCCTGGGATAAAAAAGATACAAAGGTGCCTTCTCACTAACACCTTCCCAGCCATTATGCATCTTCCAGAGTCTCTTTTCCTGATCTGTCTCTTTTGGATGGGATATGTGTGAATTCTTTTAGCAATAACAACAATCATTGTGTTAACATAATTTGGTTTGTAGTCCATTTTAGAACCTTCCATGTCAGTTCTGCTAATTTATGACTTAGTCATCCTGACAGCATTTTCAGAAAAAAACTTTGGTATCTTGCAAGCTGGCAACACAATCCAGATCACCTGCCCAGCAAATATTTCTTGACTTCTTACTGCAGAGATTACTGAGAATTTTCTCCCCTCCACAAAACTGGTAATTAAATCGTATTCTTTGGAAATGGGTTAAATGCCATAGCCAACCCTACTTATTATGGGACAGGAACCTTCTACAGATGTTTTTAAGAGGCCCATGGCCTAGTTACTTTTTGATATTCTCTTGAGTATAATCCTAATTCTCCCTGAGGTGATGTCTATTTAGACTTCACATGATGACTGTAATGGTGGGATGTTTCTCTGTACCCCAAACTGGTATGTTTTGAAAATGTATATGTTAGGGTAAGAGGTGGACTAGAGCTCATTTTTCTGCATCTTCCATTTGGAGAATTGTTCTTCTGTGGCAGTGCATTCAAACATATGTGCTCCAATCTAGTCTAGTCCAGGTTGGCTAACTATCATGGGTTCAGAACTATATTGACCAACTGCAGTATCCTGAAGGTCCATTCTCTTGTTTTCATCCTGCTGTGTTCTTGCCTTGGGATATTCTTGCTTTTGCAACATTTCTGTTGCACTAGGGATACTTTAAAAAAAACCCTCTATAGATCTTTTTTAAACAGGAAGTGCTGTGTCCTTCAAAAACCTTGGGATAATCTTGTTATTTTGCAACATTTCTGTTACGTTAGGGATAACAGTGTTACTTTAAAAATCCTCTATAGACCTTTTTCAAATAGAAAGTGCTGTGTCCTCTCCAAAGCTTTGGAATAATGCCATTTTGCAACATTTCTGTTGTGTTAGGGATAGCAGTGTTGCTTTAAAAAATTCTCTATAACAGGGGTCCGCAAACTAAGGCCCAGGGGCCGGATACAGCCCTTCAAGGTCATTTACCCGGCCCTCACTTAGGGTCAACCTAAGTCTGAAACGATTTGAAAGCGAACGACAACAACAGCAACAACAATCGTATATCATCAGCCAAAAGCAGACCCACACTTCCCATTGAAATACTAATAAATTTATATTGGTTTAAATTGTTCTTCATTTTAATTATTGTATTGTTTTGAAGTGTTTTTTGCACTATAAATAAGATATGTGCGGTGTGCATAGGAATTCATTCATGTTTTTTCAAATTATAATCCAACAGTTTGTGACCTGGCCCTCTGTTTAAAAAGTTGGAGAACCCCTGCTCTATACACTTTGTTGAAACATGAAGTGTTTAGAAATGTTCTTCCCTTTTCTGTTTTGAAGAAGGACATATAAATGTTAAAAGGTGACCTCTACACATTTTAAAAAGATAGAGAATGGCCAAAGCTCAAGGAACACTACTGGCCATGAGGGATGGGAGTCATTGCCTTACTCTGGTTTCGTACTGTAATACCTCAGAGAGTTTCCTTTTTCTCCCACCAACCTAGATACACTTTTCTCCAGTATCCAAGGATTTTATCTTGGTAGTTCTATAGGAATACTTGTCCTTGATTTTTCATAAACGTCTACTTTTTCTCCAGGAATTGTAAAAAATAAAATAAATAAATCTGTGTTCTATGCTTTTCCTAATTGTCAGTTGGAGTGGGTGGCATATTTGGATTCATAAAGTGGTATTGTTTGCTTGCTTTCTTATTTATTTGTATTCTGCGTTTGCATGCTTTAGTCAGGGACAATCTAGTATTTGTGAGTATTTGAAGACTGATTCAATTCAGTCTTTTTAGATATGTTCCAGGAGTGGTATACCAATGATTTTTTGACATGCACTTTGTATGGCAACATCCAAGGAAGACACAAAAAATGGAGGAAGCTGTGTTGGATCTAAAAAATTCAGTGTTCATCTCCACTGGTGATAGGTTTTTGGCAAAACTAATTGATCTTTGCATATTCATACTCAAGCCACCCTCTAGATTTTAACAGGAAAACTCACAATAATAGTTTCTGGGAAAAATATTTTTCTTCAGCTGTGATAGAGATTGCAGTCCTTTGCATAATTTACTTCCTCTTTTGTTCATTTTGTTTTGTTTTCCAGAATATAGTTCTACTCTTTTGGTGAAGATAAGCCTGTCACTGGGCTCTACCAACTCAGACTGCATGAGTGGGATCACATGACCAACAATGTCTTCATCAGATGTAGTAATTGTGTGGCACTTCATGTGTATTGGGTGCAGCTCCCAGTGCTTCCTATTATTGATTGTGTTGCCTAGAGGTGCTGGGAGTTGCAGTTCAGCAAATCTGGAAAATTGCACAATTCCCACCTTTGTTCTACAGAATAATTTTTAAAATCCATGTGAATACAGAGATTTCGCATGCCAGAGAGAAGATTCTAACCTCTTTCCTTGCAGTAACAAATGGTAAATCCTAGGAACAGGCTTATCATCATTGTGAGAGCCAGTTTTTGATTAATTGAAATCTGGGAACCACTCAGTGCAATTTGTGTTCCACTCAACTAGTAGTTAAAACACTAGTTTGCATGCCATGGTCATTTAGAATGATTTCATTTAGAAATGGCATCTGCAGATACTATACATCCTTATTTGGCACTGTAGAATCTGCAATATATACCTAGTGTTTATGTTATGTTTCCCATTCCCTTGTAATCTGCCATAACTTTATCCTCTAAGTCCCCTAGGTACTAAGAATGGGTGGGAGGTTTCTTAAATGACTGATCTATGATTGTAGCAAAGTCGATTGGTCAGCGGGAAAGCTCAATAAATCAATCTAGTGGCTGATGTGAACCAACAGTGGGCACTGGCCCCAGAAACTTGCCACTACAGTGCACAGGACTTGCTCAAATGACTAACAGTAGAAGGAGTTTTTTAAAAAGTGGATGGAACTTTCCTGACTTGGGTTGATTGGATGGCCTAAACTTCAGAAAATGCTGTACATGGATCATCCTCAGATTGAGCATCAGAGATCTTTACACTTGTAGACAAGCAGTGAAACTTTCACACTTGATGTACAGAAGAGTTGGTGAGATTGAGTGGACAAATGGACAGAGATAATTTTGTTAAATATTATTCTCATAAAAATGTCTTGTGGCATGCTACATAGGTTTCTAATATGTTTGTGCACTTGTCATGTATTGTGAATATCAGGGTATTTTTAAGTCTTTGAGTGAGTCTTCAAAATGAGGTGGCATTTGGATTAGTTTGCATTAAAATGTTTGTTTTTTTAAAAGGATCCAGGTCCAGACCTGTTGGAAGAATTTACCAAAACTAACAAATATACACATTGCCACATATGATTATATTCCCACAATTATATTTGTGTGAATATGAATAGAAAAGCAGTACTATTTCCTGAGAAAGGCAGGTTATACTCCCAATGAGAGCCAGTGTGGTGTAGTGGCTTGAATTTTAAACTGCAACTCTGAAGACCAGGGTTAAAATTCCTGTTTAGTCATGGGAGCCCATTAGGTAACCTTGTACTAGTTGTATTCTCTGAGGAAGCCAAAAGCCACCCCTCCTTTGAACAAATCCTGCAAAGAAAACCCCACGATAAATTCACCTTAGGGTTGCCATAAGTCAGGAACAACTTAAAGGCACATACCAACACTGACTGCTAAAATTATGCTAGTATCTGCCGATTAGGAGAATCGTGACTGTATTTAGGAATTTGATAAGCTCCATTAAACTAACTCCTGTGAATTTCTCCCTTACAGACCCCTTTGCTGATGCAACTAAGGGTGACGACTTACTCCCGGCAGGGACTGAGGACTACATCCATATAAGGATCCAGCAACGAAACGGCAGAAAGACACTAACTACTGTTCAGGGGATTGCAGATGACTATGACAAAAAGAAACTTGTGAAAGCCTTCAAAAAGGTAGATGATTGTGTCTCAGATCTGAAAATGTTTGAGTTTGAAAGATTTGTGTCAGAAAGCTGAACTTTTAGTACCAAAGAGTCAGGAAAGAGTGCTTTTAGTGATAAGACTGTGAGAGATCAGCAGAGATGTGAACCCCCTTCTACATTGACATACAAATTCCAGATTATCTGCTTTGAACTGGATTAATATGGCAATGTAGACTCATATAATCCAGTTCAAAGCAGATCATGTGGATTAGCTGCTTTGATAATCCAGATTGTATGGTATTGTAGAAGAGGCCTGAGAGATCAGCCTAAAAGTCTGCTTAGTCCAGCATCTTGTTGCGACAGTGAGCAATCATGGTCTATGGGCAACCCACAAAAGCATTCTGCTGTTCATTCCCTTGAGCAGTATAAGTATATCCCAGTCAGTGAAGTAGATGTGTTCCTGGGAATTACTTCTTTAAAAGAAAATTTGGTACCAGTGGCAGAAGCAACATGGAAAAAATAGAGATAAGTTCCTGTTCTGGTTCAATACTAGAGCAATTTAATACGTTTCATCAAACTTTTTATTCAGCACTAACTAAAGGTACATGTGGAAACAAGAAAGTCAGGTAAGACCTGTTTAAGTAAATCAAAACATTTTGAAATGTTGAGAGATGTCCTGAAGGTTTCTTCCTAAATTCATCCAAGAATGACTTATTTCATCAACCTCCACTTTTTATGATTTCCAAATATTAAGATCAATGTTATTTTGACACGTGGATGGTTGCTGGTAAATGAAGCTTATCTTCTCCTCCCTGTTGTCCCTGGTTTGATGTTAACAAATGCTAAGTGATGGAACCTGAGGTTAGTTGCTGTTTTGTTGCTCTGAATTCCTTAGGTGAGATGATAGCAGAATATACACAAAGTGTTATTATTATTATTACCTTGCCTGTTATACACACAGCTATAGTAGCAGCAGGTACAGTAGAATACCATTGTTTTCCACTTCGAGCTTCATTGCATTGTTTACTTCAGATGCACTGCAGAAACATGACACCAAAAGCCTGTTTCGGCAGCCCCCTTTTCCCACCCTCCTAATGCCGATGCTGCTAAAAGACTTGTGACATGACAGATGGAGAGGAAAGGAGACTGGGCCAGCATAAAGTACCTTATAAAAAGAAACTTCTGTGTCAGTGGCTTTATATACAGAAGTATGTTTCTATGCCATTTTGATTCTCGGAGTATTATGTGCCCTTTGATAGCATAGCACTCTCCATGAAAATCAGAGAATAAGACTAAATAGCTAGACTAGATTGGCCTACTGTGGAAGACTAGTGGGCTGCATTAGCCCTTCAGGGGACCTTGGAAAGCCACACCTGATCCTGCAAAAATAACAACAATAATATTTTGCTCCCAAACACCCCTGGTGACATGGGGGCATGCTTTCAGGCCCTTCTGAGTCCCTGGGGGATAATTTAGGACAAAAGTTTTGAGGAAATTTTTAAAATAATAAATAATTTCATTTTCATACCTGGGTGGCTGAGGGCCTAAGCATATGGAAATTCCTGTTGTTATTGCTGATATTGTTATATGCCAAATGAGACTCAAAGCGATTAATTAAAAAACCATAACAATGTATGAATTAAAACCTAACACCCATAAACAATAAAATAGAATTAAACATAGCAATATTAAAAATACATAGTTAAAAGCAATATAACCATTATCCAAATCTATTAAACTACAGAAAATACAGAACCTCCTGGCTTGGTCTTAAAAAAAAACTTGCATATTTAAAAGCCTTCCTGAAAAGAAAGATTTAGCTTGCCGACGGAAGGACAGCAGGGAGGGAGCCATTCTAGTTTCCCTAGTCAGGGAGTTCCAGAGTTCTTAGAGATCATTTTGTGACCTTTACCCCTCAAAGACCCATAGGAGTCAAACAAATAGCGCTTAGGGATTGTACGTGTCACATGGACGGCTCTTTGCACACACACACACACACACAACCATTTAGGTTCTCTTGGACTAGAAAGACAGTGACATTGATTTCAGTAATTGGTGTTTAAGCTGCTTTCTAAAATTGATAGAATTTGGACTTCATTTAGATCTGTGAACAACCTGTGGGTCCCCAGATGTTTTGGCCTTCAACTTCCAGAAGTCCTAACAGCTGGTAAACTGGCTGGGATTTCTGGGAGTTGTAGACCAAAACACCTCGGGGACCCACAGGTTCAGAACCACTTATTTAGATTCTTTAAGTAAATCTAGGCCACACAAAGAAATGTATTTTCTTTCCAGAAAAGGCAACCAGAATTCAGTCACTTGTTTCTAGAAACAAAATGCCTCAATGCTTTATTGATCTTATAAAATGCCCAATATGCCATGAAAAGTGAATTGAAAACATAGGGCTGAGTTTTTCATATTCCGTTTAGTGTCCTTTCTAGCAGGAGTGAGACAATTTAAATGAAGTATACCTGAGGCATAAGAAAGAAAAAAATGAGATACACATTCAGTTTGTGGTGGTCATGTATAGGAGAAATGTGTGGAATGGCAATTACAGGTAAAATGAGAAACTGGGCTAGAAGTTTCTTGGATTCCTGCATTTTGTAGTCCTTGCTTAGCTCAGAACTATGTAGTTGTAAGAGCCATGACCCCAGAAATTAAAATTCTGCAAAGATTGATGGCTAAGAACAAAACACATCTGTAAATCACTGGCGAGCTTTGATGCTTGTCTTATGAACAAAAACAACTAAAATGGTGGCTTATCAATCTCCATTTTGATCAATTAGATCTTGATTCCATTTGTTCCATGTGTGATTTTTTTCTCTCTCTCTCTGCAGAAATTTGCCTGTAATGGTACTGTGATTGAGCATCCGGAATACGGGGAAGTGATCCAGTTGCAAGGTGACCAGAGAAAAAACATTTGCCAGTTCCTCCTTGAGGTGAGTTCCCCTCCGCCAGATACTTAGCAGTGAAATCTGCTAATGCAAGTCATCTGCTTTGGATATTGTGGATATTCTTTTGGCTCTGGCCATAGTGACTGATGACTGAGTCACTGCCCTAGTTATGACTGTATTGATGATTTGCCTAACTTGATAATAATTTCTTGCTGCGTCATGGGGGAATGTTACAAACTGGACTTCAGCAGCCTTGTTTGTTGACATTAACAAGATAATTAATGCATTATATTTGAAAAGTTGGATTCTAATATGATATATTATCAGCAAATAAGGCCATACTTGACTAATTTACTTGTGTATATAAAAACTGATGTTGTAGATCAGAACTTCTTAAACAGTGGGTCCCAACCGCAAATGTTAGGGTTGTGAAAGGCCTCTTCCTCCAGCTGCCACAGCAGAGTAAGAGCTGGGGCAATACTCCACTTTGGCAGGAAAAACGAAATGCAAAGATACAGAATGGGGGACAATGCCTGGCTTGAGAGCAGTACGTGCGAAAAAGATCTTGGAGTCCTCGTGGACAACAAGTTAAACATGAGCCAACAATGTGATGTGGCGGCAAAAAAAGCCAATGGGATTTTGGCCTGCATCAATAGGAGCATAGTGTCTAGATCTAGGGAAGTCATGCTACCCCTCTATTCCGCTCTGGTTAGACCACACCTGGAATATTGTGTCCAATTCTGGGCACCACAATTCAAGAGAGATATTGACAAGCTGGAATGTGTCCAGAGGAGGGCGACTAAAATGATCAAGGGTATGGAGAACAAGCCCTATGAGGAGCGGCTTAAGGAGCTGGGCATGTTTAGCCTGAAGAAGAGAAGGCTGAGAGGAGATATGATAGCCATGTATAAATATGTGAGAGGAAGCCACAGGGAGGAGGGAGCAAGCTTGTTTTCTGCTTCCTTGGAGACTAGGACGCGGAACAATGGCTTCAAACTACAGGAGAGGAGATTCCATCTGAACATGAGGAAGAACTTCCTGACTGTGAGAGCCGTTCAGCAGTGGAACTCTCTGCCCTGGAGTGTGGTGGAGGCTCCTTCTTTGGAAGCTTTTAAACAGAGGCTGGATGGCCATCTGTCAGGGGTGATTTGAATTTGATTTTCCTGCTTCTTGGGAGGGGGTTGGACTGGATGGCCCATGAGGTCTCTTCCAACTCTTTGATTCTATGATTCTATGACTGAAGCTGCGATCAAAGGGGGAAAAGAAAAGGCTGAGATCAAGCTGCTAAGAGACAGGAAGGGCAATGGTCCCAGCCAAGGCACCGACCATGTAGATGGATGGTGGGAAAAGAAACCACTTGGGCAATGGAGGAGGAGGTGGGATGAGAAGAAACAAAGGAGGAGGGCGAAGAAGGAGAAGGAACCCTGCCAGTCCCTCCAGGCATTTACCACCCTTCCTTCTCCCCAACCGCACCGCTGATTTGTTTTAATTTTTTTTTTGTTATTTTAAGAATTGCACCTTAATCTTCCTGCAGCAAGGGGATGGACCCTCTGTATCCACAAATTCTACTTGAATATCTGTCATATATCTATCAATCTGTCTATCCATCTAAAAACTTTGCCATTTTATATAAATCATAAGGGACGCTCCCTTGAATGTGATGGGATTTGAGCATCCATGGGTTTTGAGCAACCATGGGTTTTGGTATCCACTTCAGGTCCTGGAACCAAACCACAGCAGCTTCTGAGAGCCACTGTATTTTACTTAAGGGTTTGATTTTTATGTACTTGGAAGATAGGTGTGCCATAATTGTTATTACTGTGGGTACAATTGGTCCTCCATATCCACAAGTTTAACCATTCAATATTAAAAAATAGTTTGATTTGTGTACCTATTTTATAAATCCCGAGGTGATATAAAAGCTTCTTGGGCAAAAAGTAGTCTCAAGCTTAAAAAGTTTAAGAAGCCCTGCTGTAGATCATGGATTTAATCCTCCACATCCAGTGCACGGCTTCAGTTGTGTCTTGGTGGAGATGGTAATTGTAATTACAGAAAGCTCACTGCCATTTACTTTTTTTCTGCAGGTTGGCATTGTTAAGGAGGAGCAGCTGAAAGTTCATGGCTTCTAAAATGTCAGTGTTCATATGAAGAACTTTGCAGGTTGTGTTCATACCCAGGCTGGCTATTCTGTGAAATATGGTTCTTTGCAGTAAATGGACTTCCTGTTCAAAATCTGATTTGCTTTTGCATGACGACAGAAAACATATGGAATGTAGGCTAGAAACACATAAGAAAACTGCAGTTAGATGGTAACACAAGATCCTTGAGAATTTTAACACATTTCCAATGGAAATGTTCTCCTGCTGATAGTTCAGTGTATTACTTTTCACCTAATTTAAATGTTGTATTAAAACCATGTGTGTTGCTGCTTAAATAAAATGTCTCTTATCTTAACCTCTTGAGTGTTCGGGATCCATTAACCAAGAGCCTTCAAGAAATTGTAATCATATTAGTAGTTTCTCAGCTATTGGCAAATAGGTAAAGCTTCACAAGAAAATATTCAACATAAGATAAGCACAAAAATATTGATTAGACATTTTCACCAGATTGCATAAAAGTATGTGGTTGAGTGTAATAAAAACCAACAGTTGCTTGCTTATTATCAGGACTGAATGGTGAACTTAGGCATAATGAGGTAAAGTGCAACTTAAGTATTGAAAATTATTGCTGTTGCTGGACTTTGATTTGAAACCCTTTCCCATGAGAGTTTTAAAATATGCTGTATTATAGAAGCTTCTCTAGGGCTTATATTATTCATAATATAAGCTTATTCATATCAGTTTTAATTTTTGTCTTTTATAGCAAAAATGTGATTGAATTAAGTAGCAACTGCAGGGAGAGCGGTTGCTGCTTAATTTAGGTATTTCTTCCTGACTTCATGAAGGGCCAAACATATCAGTGAGGAAGTGCCTGATGTTTTAGTAGGCTTTTGAGAGTTCACATTGGAAGACTTAAAATACACAGCTGCAAGATGAAATTTAAATTCCCATTCAATAAACCGCTGTGGAATTGATCTAATAATCATTTTGTCTAATCCTTCTCTGATCTTACTGGATTATATATTCAAAACTTTTTTTTAAAGAAAATACATGATGATAAGGTAAACCTGGATTGTTACTACACAAATCTTACTTTTTTTTTAGTCATAAATAGCTGGATTGACATTTCATCACAGTTGCTTACTATGTTCTCTGTGTTTCTAAAGACAACAACTATTGGAAATCTTTTCTAAATGCATTTTAATATTGGCAGGTGTCTTCACCTGACCAGAGAAATAGAAGACCTTTGTATTCAGCCTGACTGGAGTAGATACGAAAGTCTATTGGGTAGATACCACAGATCAATTGTATATAATGCAACATCTGTACTGACAGTGTTTGGATGTGATCCAGTGTCTGTTAAATCAAAGTAGGTTATGAGACATGATTATCCCAAGAAACCAGTTTAAGGAGTATGCCTGTTAATACTTCCAGTGTGTAGCCAGACCACATTATTTTCAGGGGATACTATTTGAGGTAGTAAGATAAAGTCCTTGAATTGTCCAGATTTTCATATGTTTGGATTAATATTGAGTCTTATTCCAGGACCTCTCTTTCATATAACCCACACTGGAAAGCAGGAATAGTGAATGTACATTCAGCTGTGCACCATACAGTCTTATGGTACTTTAATGGATTATGTTTATATCGATATTGTAAGAATTTATATGCCTGATTTGTGAGAGCTACTTTGCTTTGATCATGCCAACTCATAGCTTAATCCTTAACCAGACGTTGGTCTGAAAGCACCGTCATCATTCTCTTCACTCTGGTAGATCCAACTGCCTCATCTGGGGCAAAGGAGAAGGGAAGCTGAAGAAGAGCTGCAAAGACTATTGAGGAATGGCAAGTTTACTCGGAAAAATGACTTTGGTGCTCAGGCTCACCAGTTTCCAAAGACATGTGCTTGATTCCTGGTTGAGCTTTTCCTACCTACCCTACCCTGCATGCATGCATACATGCCTGAACCATTGCTATAATATGTGGACACTGATACAGGTGCCTTGTTAGTGAAAATCAAGAAAATAAAGGTTTGCTAATCCTGTTGCTTCCTCCTGCAGTTCTTTGTATGAGGAAGAAGTCTCATAGGAGATGAAACAAAACTCAAGACTAAATGTCTGGTAATGAAACTAGTTATTGTTAACTACCCCAGCTAGATCAGAAGTGAGGAAATTGGCTATAAAAATATCAGTGTCAATCTCATCGTTCAGCATAGTCAGTGATAAGAAATGAAGGGAATTGTAGCCCAACATTCTAGAGAATCATGCCCCCATTTCTGAGCTGTATTCAATGTATTCGTTTTTTTGGAACCTCATAAAAACCTATTATGTGGTTTTTACCTGTTTACCAGTTGATCCAAATGAGCTATGTGCATGGAAAAAGTAAGATTGGTTTGTTTCACTAATGGCTGCTTGATCTCCAAACTGACTGACTGAATAAACTATATGCAAAAGCCGTATTCAGAAATGTTTGTTTTGTTTATGCAGGATTTTAGAAAAATGGTTTTGAGAATAGTGAGCACTCCTAAGCCACTTTCTACACTTTGAAATGTTTAAGATTAATTGTAGCCTTGGAAGTGGTGTTCTCTGTCACTCCCAAAGATGTATTAACACATTGGCTGCCCTAACAAACACTTAGTGAGTTGATTTGGTAAACGAGGAAACTACAGGGTGTTTCAAAATGATGAACTCAATTTCAAAGCAGTATATTTCATGATGGCAACGCATTACACTGAAACACAAAGTTACAAGCAGTTTAATGAATTATCGAGTTTTACTTACCATTTTGAGCCAGAAACAAACTTAAAAAATAACTCTACAAATGGAGAATATCTCATTAGGCCTTAAGTTATCAGGTTGCCATCTTGTGATTACCTGAAACTAGGGGCTGTTTGTGTTCTGGGAGAGGCATCTAGTCATAACCATATGCCCCCACCCTTTCAAGTTTCATTCATAGGTGGTTCATAGTTGCAGAGAAATAGCTTTTTCAAATCAAGTTTTGAAACACCCTTATTTTGTGCTGAGTCAAAGCTAAGTAATGGTCTGTTTTAAAACCAAGGCATGTGTGGTATGTCTTCACTGATGCTGGTATTGGATACTGCTGAAAATCTCAGAAGAACTGATGGAGATGTCCTTCCCTGTCTTCATTCCTAGCTTTGTCATTTACCTTGTCTGTTTCCACCTAATTTACCATTAGCTCAGAAAACCAGGACCTTCTTTTAAAAGGGCAGCTTTGAGATCAGTTGTGTTTATTGATAGTAACATAAAGATTGAGACCGGATGATAATTGCGTAGTATCATGGAAAGCCGTGATGACTTTATAAAAGATGTTCCTGTTCCACAGAAGTATTTGTACATCTAAAGTTTCTTGTTGACCCAGAAGCAACGTGGGGCTTGTGGTAGGATATTGAGGCTCATGCAAGAGGGTGTCATGTCTTATTTCTTCCAGTTATAGCCTTTACTAGCCCACTTGGTCCCAGAATTTGAGGTGAATAACTGGTGCTACTCCTCATTTCTGACAACTTGGACAAAAATTGTTATCCCAAATCAGAAATCTTTGACATCCCTGACAAGACAGACTTTTTGGATAAAGCTACAATCCTCATTGGAGCCCCCGGTGGCGCAGTGGGTTAAACCACTGAGCTGCTGAGCTTGTTGACTGAAAGGTCGCAGGTTTGAATCCAGGGAGCGCCATAAGCTTCTGCTGTCAGCCCCAGCTTCTGCCAACCTAGCAGTTCAAAAACATGCAAATGTGAGTAGATCAATAGGTACCGCTCTGGCGGGAAGGTAATCGCGTTCCATGAAGTCATGCCAGCCACATGACCTTGGAGATGTCTACGGACAACACTGGCTCTTTGGCTTAGAAATGGAGATGAGCACCAACCCCCAGAGTCAGACACAACTGGACTTAATGTCGGGACAACCTTTACCTTTTACAATCCTCATATAAGATGGCTGCCTAGGAATATCAGGAATTATGTACAGCAAAAATAATGTTTTGGGGGGTTTTATGCATTCTTGCAAACCAGGACTGAGTTCACATATTTCCAACAGAGCAAAAAACAATGTGGTGTTGAACAGAAATAAAGACACATTTGTGCATTTGCCTATACTTTTCTACAGATGGAATTTATCTTGGATGTCAGAACAACAAACACCAAAGTGAATTGTTTCAAGGCAAGAGGAAAGATTATATTTGCTCCTTTGCAGCAGAATGTTTCTCAAGCCATTTTGTTAATTGTGTATCATTTTATTTAGCGGCAGATTAATAAGCTGGTTGAGCAGTAGATGTAAGATACCTTGCTCACATAGATGGTAGGTAGTCTATATTCTCAAAGAATTAAAGGGTTGCTGCCCTTTGAAGGACAAATTTAATGGGACTCCATTTGCTTGGACCTTAAAAGCATATTCCAGAGGTATTAGACTTCAAATACAGACCCAGGCAGCATGGCCTAATGTACTGTAAGATACCAAGAGGGGAAAACGGATTCAAAGCAATGCAAATGAGTATACAGGAAATACATCTATTGCTTTACAGCTGCACTGGGCAACATCAGGTCCATTGGCTGCATGTCACTCCAGTGTAAACCCCCTCCATTCCTGTTGTGCTCCACACTGTCTCTTGTCAGAGAAATATGCTATCTTATCTTTCATCACAGCTGCATATAGCATGCATTCCAAAATTGGAAGCAGGTAGCTGTAATCCCAACTATGGTGTCCACTGCCTATAGGATTTATTTGGCAGATTGCATCTCCCAGAATGAGGAATCTTCCCGGGCCCCGAGATCTTCAGGAGAGACCCTTTGCTCAGACTCTCCACCATTGGAAGCAAGTCAGTAGGAATGTGAGAGAGGGCCTTCTCAGTGGCTGCCCCTCAACTCTGGAACTCCCTGCCCAGGGAAGCCAGAATGGCCCCCTCCCTGCTGTCCTGTCAGCAGGCTAAAACTTTTTTGTTCACGTAAAGAAGAATAAGATTTTAAAGACTAAACCACAAGGTGCTATATATTCTATGTAATCTTTGTCCCAGTCTCACCTTAAGGCAGTGGTTCCCAACGCTTTTTTGACCAGGGGTCACTCTCCAACATTAGTACCAAAAAGGTTACGAATTAATCTTTTGTCAACTTTAGATTCAGTTTGGGGTGCTGATTCAGAAAATTGCATTCGATAGACCACATCAGCTCTGGTTTCTGATATAGAACATATGTCATAGTCAGTGACGATAGGAATGTCAGGGGGCGCGAAAAGAGTGGTAATAAAATTAAATAAATAAAGAGGAAAGAGGCTTCTGGACCAGATTTTCATCCTCGCGGCCCACTAGTGGTCCACAACCCACAGGTTAAGAATCACTGCTTTAAGA